GGTTGGAGCTGGAGGAGCTTTAAGGTCCCTTCCAACCCAAACCAGGCTGGGATTCTATGGCTCTAAAACCACTCGCTAGTGTTTCTTGGCAGCACTTAGGATGTTTTCCCAGAAGCCCAGTGAATATTGTCTGTTTGCAGTGTTCTTTCTTTTCTCCCTTGGCTTTTCAGGGCTGCTGTCATCTTGTACACTAAACCTTTTTGTTGCAGAAATGTCTCATCAGTGGCATGTGGCTGATATCCAGAAGATACCCAGTTCCTGCAGTCCCCAGGGGTACAGTGTATGGCATGAGCCCGCCTGGCTTAGAGACCCATCAGGTTGGTTAACAGCTGATTTCTTCTTATTTCAGGCCAAAAGTGCTTTCTCGTGAGAACCCTGATCTACTCGATGTGGTGGATTTCTGAGAAGCACCAGTTTTAGGTTGAATATTTCTACTTGTTAAGATGTATTTGATGACCTCAGGGAATATTGTAGTTGCTGAGTCCAGGTGACAGAGTTCAGGAGTGGTGCTCTGGTAACTTCATTGACCAAGTTATTTAAGCCTGAACTAACCTCTGGAGTTAAACTTCCTCTGGAGAAACATCTTTTTTAATGGCTGTATAGATGTACTTCCCCAGGGCATTAGAACTGAGTTGGACATTGGCTCTTTTGAGGTTAAGCTGCTGCTTTCTCAAGGTGGCTTTGTATTTTCTACAACATTTACTCTGCTAGAAGTGACTCAGTGCTTGGCTAAGTAAATCTACCTGCTGGCTTTGATTCCTGTCTAATTTAATGTCTCTTTGGATCCTACAACATGGAATGCTTTTCTTTAGTCCAGATGCTACTCTTCTGGAGGAAGAAAGGGTTTTATATCAGGGTTTGTGGAGAACATCAAACAGGAATTAGCAAAAAACAAGGAGATGAAAGAAAGTATTAAGAAATTCCGAGATGAAGCTAAAAAGCTGGAAGAATCTGATGCTCTTCGAGAAGCAAGGAGGAAATATGTAAGTCAGGAATTCCTTTGGTGTTTTCATTGCCCAGTCACTGAGCTGTTACCATTGTGAACGTAGATTTGAGTCTTTCTGCAGATGAACTGAATTCAGCATGTCTGTTCTTATAGGAAGTTCTGCTTGCCTGGGAATACTGGTGTTAAGTGGAAAATCTTTCCAGCAGCTTTTTCACTGCATTTCCCAAATAATGAGCAGATGAAAGAACGAGGCATTAGAATTTAAACCCTTCTTTTGTATTCTTTGAAGAACTATAAACAGCAGAAGTTGCATAAATGAACCTTTAAACTAGTTCCTCAAGGAAGGTGGGGCCCTTTTGCTCTCAGTGACAGCATTAAGGGACTGTGCTATGTGCTAAACTGGACTTGAGGGTTTTCTCTCCTCATAGTTACATGCAGCATGTTTTTTTTCCCCCCACAGAAAACCATTGAATCTGAAACAGTGAAGACCTCAGAAGTGATCAAAAAGAAACTTGAAGAAATAACTGGGACAGTGAAAGAGGTAAAAGGCAGCTGTGGAATAACCCTGTCCCCATGTTCTGCTCTGCTCTGTCACTCTCCATCTGTCTAAATGTGCTTTGGTGTGGCTTAGCTGTGTGTAGTTATGAGCTGGACATAAAGCTCATTGCTGATGTGGACATAACTGGTATCTTTTCAGTACTGGTGAAGGTGCTGTGAGCATCTTCATTAGCCAAATGCCATTGACAACCAGGGAAAACCATTTGGTCCTGTCACCCTGTCGTTTCTCTTCCTCTGAGGCTGTGGCTTGTGACCCATCCAGGGTTGGTTGCCTGTTGCTGGTGAGAATTCCAAGATCCCTGAGGATCTGATGTGTGCCAGTGCAGAATGAAAGGGTGACGAGCTACTGGCAGAGTCCTTTTAACCTCTTGCATACAAGGTCCTGGCTCTGTAAACACAGCTGAAGTGATGGATATGAAGGTGTGAGATTGAGAAGAATGTTTCCTGATTGTGCAGGAAGAGTTGCATAGCAGAGAGCCATCTCCAGTGCTCCTCTGCCTGCTCTGAAGAAGCACCTGATTGTTTCAAGGGGAAAGGCTTGGCTTTTTTAACTCTGGCATCATTGGTCCTTCTCTTTGATGTCAAGGGAAAAAAGAGTTAAAATCTCTGGGTAGCAGCTATTACAAATGTGTGTGGTCCCATGAGCAGCCCAATCTGTTGTTCTGCAAAGAGATGTTGGACAGTGCTGCAGTGCCAAGCCATAGTGTAACAGTCAAGTCTCCCCTGTGACATGTGGCTGTGTGTTCACCTTAGGTTGGGTTAGTTTTGTTTTTGTCCTGTGTGAACACTAAAGACCTCCTCATGCCCATAAAGGAGTTACTCAGCGTAAGTTTCCACCTGTTTCACCTGACATGAGCTTTTCTTTCATTTTGTGTTTTCTTGCAGAGTTTGGATGAAGTCAGTAAGACTGATATTGGCCGGAAGATAAAGGAAGGTGTGGAAGAAGCAGCAAAAACAGCAAAGCAGTCTGCAGAGTCAGTGACAAAAGGAGGGGAGAAACTGGGCAGGACAGCAGCCTTCAAAGCTATTTCTCAGGTACCTGTTAGCTGTAAGGTTTGACTGTGTCCAAGGCTGTGTGGAGACCTCAGAGGAGCTTCCAGTGTGTGAAGGGGGCTACAAGGATGCTGGAGAGGGACCTTTGTCAGGGGCTGTACTGATAGGACAAGGGATGACGTGTTTAAACTGAAACAGGGGAGATTCAGGATAGATATAAGGCAGAGGCCTCTTTATGTATTTATTTCTTCAACAAAAATGATTTTCAGTTTCTGGGAAGTGAGTGGGGGGAACAGTAAATCATCCTAATGGGGATATTTTCCTTTCAGGGAGTAGAAACAGTTAAGAAGGAAATAGATGAAAGTGTTTTAGGACAGACTGGTCCTTACAAACGTCCAGAGCGCCTACGGAAAAGAACAGAGTTCTCGGGAGAGAGTATTAAAGAGGAGCGAATATTTGAGGCTAATGAGTAAGTATGGGATGGCATCTGGGGTGATACTCCTCTTAGAATTGGATTACAAACTTTAACACCTAACTACACATCAGGGCTGGTTAAAATCCAAGTGCTGAAGTGAGGCTGTGGGGTGAGGCCTGACCTAGCAGCACAGGTAGGTCTGAGAGCAAATTTCCAGCAGAAGTTGATGATACTGAACCCTGCAATAGCAAAACTGGGCAGTTAAAACACTAAAGTGGGTACACAAGATTCTGATGATAAATCCTGACTGGCCTGTGTGTCCTGTTTCCTCAGTTCTAACATCTTGCTGTAGAGTTACATTTGGCAGGACTAAATCTGAGCTCTTTTGCTTCCTCTGCTGCCTTTGCCACACTAAGCCGTGTTTCTGTGGTGTGTCAGCCTCAGTGATGCTGCAGTGATACTCCTCAGGATGTTCTCTTTCTTGTTCTCACTTAGTTGTAAGTTGCTTATTCACAAGCACCCCTCTCTTGTGCCTTTTCTAGGGAGGCCATGGGCGTGGTGCTGCACAAAGACTCCAAATGGTACCAGCAGTGGAAAGATTTCAAGGACAACAACGTGGTTTTCAATAGTAAGTGTTCCAAACACAATGGAAAAGCACCTTACTTTCCCAGTTGTGATTCTTGCTGGGTTGGGTCTCCCTGCCATCTGTGTAACTAGGCTCAACATGATGCAAATCAGAGCCCTTTCTTGTGTTGTAGCAATTGCTGTGAGGTGGTGCAAATGGAAGGCAGGCATGGTTGAAACAGCACAGCTTTCCGAGCTGCTCCATCTATTTTCGGGCCCCTCCTCCGTCAGGGGTTGGTTTTGATCAGACCCTGTTCCTTGTAGGTACCAAATCTTCCTTTCAGCACTACTTAAAGAGCTGAACTCTGTTCTTTTTTCCATTGTTTTCTAGTCAGATCCCCTCTGGCACTGGGAAGAGGCCAGGGCACTCATGCATGCATGTCAGGCAGGTCACTTCTTCCTGAGCTTGAGCTTGTGGCAAGGAAAGATCTTGTCTTGAGCGAGCTGGTTTCTACTGTCATCTGCTTAGAACTCTGGAACGTGTGGAACTTTGCCTTCTGCCTGGGTTTAGTGCAAACCCTGAACGTACTGAATGTTCTTCGCTGTGAGGGTGCTGAGGCGCTGGCACAGGGTGCCCAGAGAAGCTGTGGCTGCCCCATCCCTGGCAGTGTTCAAGGCCAGGTTGGACACAGGGGTTGGAGCAACCTGCTCTAGTGGAAGGTGTCCCTGCCCGTGGCAGGGGTTGGAGCTGGAGGAGCTTTAAGGTCCCTTCCAACACAAACCATTCCATGATTCTGTGATACTATTCTAGACACACAGCCCCAGTTAAACTTTTTGGTGCTGGTTCCACATCTTGCTACCCCTTGTAGCAGACTGAATCAGGGGTGTAAAGGAGGCTGTTACTGGTGTGAGCAAGTCTGGTGTATTTTCTACCTGGAAATCTGCATAGAAGGTCCAGAGTTTCTGGCAGCTGCAGTCAGAGAAAGCAGCATTCTCCTCATTACAGTTACTGCTAGTTAAGAACACTGCAGGAAGATGAGGAAAAAAGAAACTTTTGAAATGGATAGTTCTTAGTCATTGAAGTGATATAGAAAAGAAGCAGCAGGTTTGATCTGCAACCCACTGCATGGTGTTTCTTAGTGGAAGGACTCTGCTGCTCACAGCTCCTCTCCTTCCAGGGTTCTTTGAGATGAAGATGAAGTATGATGAGAGTGATAACGCATTCATTCGAGCTTCCAGAGCTGTCACAGACAAAGTCACGGACTTAATAGGTAACGTTTCACCTTTGCTGTGGAAGAGCATCACTGGCCTCAGCTCCGCTCTGGTGCCTGCTACTGCTGTTGTCCTCCAGGTGTTCCTGGGGCCAGGTTGGACACAGGGGCTTGGAGCAACGTGCTCTAGTGGAAGGTGTCCCTGCCCATGGCAGGGGGTTGGAACTGGGTGAGCTTTAAGGTCTCTTCAACCCAAACCATGCAGTGATTCCGTGATTCTGGAGCTTTACATTATTTGGCATGGGTCAGTATCATGCAGTATCAGCCTGCTACTGGATCAGACGTGCAGTGCCATGACAAGTGCTTGTATGGGATAAAGCTCAAGCTTAACTTAAAGCCTGCAGTTGGTCCCAGGTGCCTCCTCCTTCCCTCTGGTGTCTCCCCAAACATCTTTCTCTTGTTCCCTGTGACAGTTGTTGTGCCACCAGTCTCACTGAGTTGTTTTTTAGGTGGATTGTTCTCGAAGACAGAAATGTCTGAGGTTTTGACAGAGATACTGAAAGTGGATCCATCCTTTGACAAAGACCGGTTCTTAAAGCAGTGCGAGTTTGATATAATCCCCAATGTCCTGGAGGTGAGGAGGGGCTGCAGTGTGATGCATGGCAGGGGGTTGGAACTAGATGATCTTCAGGTCCTTTCCAACCCAAACCATTCTGTGAATGAACAGCACTGGGCAAACGGTACTATCAGATACTGGTAAGGGAAGGAATTTGGTGCAGGTGCTACTGGATTCTAAGTGATCTGTGACTGCTTGGGAAGAGACCAGGTCATGAGAAATGGTCCTAGTCAAGGAACTTTTGTGGAACTTCATGTTTTTAAGGACCACTCAGAGGACAGCACTGCTGAAGGATGTGACTTCAGGTGTAATGGATATAGTTCCTCTCACTGTCACAGTATGTCTGGAAAGACAGAGTGAAAGTAGCAAATTGAAGAAGTACAGTAGAAATTGTGCTGAGATTTGTATGAGACTGGGAAAGCTGAGGCTTGAAGAGAGAAATATGCTAAGAGAGAGCAAAGTGTGATCTTCTCATCCTGAAACACAGTGCAGGGAGTGATTGTATCTCACTCGATACATGCTAACACACCTGTAGAAGTGTTTATGATGCTCCTAGTCGTGAGGTAGCATTATGGGATGAGCTAAAAGGAAAAATGTTCCTATTTTATTCCATTTTCTCTTTCAGTCTATGATGTCTGGAGAGCTTGATATCCTCAAAGATTGGTGCTATGAAGCGGTGAGTAGAGCTACTCAAACTGTCTGGAAAGGTGATGATTCTCCCTTGTAAGTAGGTGTATTGTGCCACCTTTGCTTACAAGCTATTGTATCTGTGATGTTGCTTCCCTGCTTTGCCCAGCTGCTTCCCCAGGGAACATGGTGTAAAACACTAATGCAGTCAAGTGTATGGGGAGGAGTTCTGGAATAGTCTGGCTAGGAGTGGAGAGCTGTTTAGAGACAGTGAATCTAGAGCTGACCTCAAGCTAGTGGAACTGGCTCAGCTCTGCACTGCCCTTCTTGATTTGGATGGGCTTTAGGAGAGCCTGTGTCCCAAACAGGGAGTGAGAAGGTGCAGAGGCATTGCTTGCAGAGTCAAGTCATCCCTAGAGCCCCTATACAAACACAACTTCACTGCAATATCCCAGCAAATAACCTTGGCAGGCTGAAGCTAGAGAGATAATCTGCAGCCTGGATATGTCCTTGCAGAAAACTGGATTTGGTTTTGTACTGGGATGGATTTTCAGTATTGGAACCACTTGTTGAAACACTGAATAATCCTGGTTGGAATTCAGTGGTTCTGTTATTATGTGTTTAACTTCATGAAAGCAGATCCTTTCCTGGCAAGATGGACAGACACACATCCTGCTCTTCGCTCTGCTCCAGAGTAATTGTGTTGCAGGCATGCAGAGCCATGCTTGTCCTGTTTCTAAGGGACTGAATGGTTTAAAGTGGGTGTTCTCACTGGTCACCACCTCTACAGAGCTGGAAGAGGCAATTCTTTGTGTTTAATATGGTGATTAACATCTTTGTAACAACATCGCAGTGTGTAAGAGCAGGATATTTAAAGCAGTCTGAAAGTAAAAGAAGTTTGTTGTTGGTTCAAGCAAACTTTGAAGTGACACCACGGAATTCCTCTGGAATCTCTAGAGAGAAGCAGCAGATCCACTGCAGTTCAGAAGACAAAAAGCAAACCCTTCGAAGCCAGTTGTAGATAGAAATTAAGCTCATAAATCAAGAATCATCTTCAAAATAAACCAAGGGAGGAAATGGGAGTCCTGTTAGTGAGAATCCGGGAGATAAAGGCTCTTGAATGGAATCATTCCACAAGTATGAAGTTTGTAATTCCGGTTGCTGCAGTGTTGGAATACAAACCAGGAAGGGAAAAGCTTGGCTGTGCAGGTATGCAATGGAACTGCAGGTTGCTGCCAGCACACTGACTTGGGTGTAGTTTGTGGTTGGTTGTGCCTCCTGTCCTCAGCACCCCTGATCTGTAACTCCAGCTTCACTGTGGTGACTTTACCAGTAACTTCTGTAGGATATTTACATTTAAATGCTTGTGCTGAAGGTTAGAAGATCCATGGTGGGGAGGTAGGGAAGAAATGCTCCTCCGGGCTGGCTGGATGTTAGGAAAATAGCTTGTGGCCAACACTGCTTCTCCTTGTCTGCTGTCAAATCAGAAGCATAAGTGCAGTGGCTCTCAGGTGCACTCTTTTCTGAAGGATGGATCTGTTCTGGCCAGGGAAGGGTGGGATCTTTAGTGAGCCTTTGGTTCCGTGAAGCCCAGGGCATCTGATGTAGCTGTTTGGTGCTTGGCAAGGCCTCTGTCTTCAGCATATGTGCAAAACCCAACTTTTATTGTCATTTTTGGTGGTTCTTTCTAAGCAGAAAATCCCTTTTTCTTCGTGACAGAGCAAATTCAAACATGTAACACGAGTTTGTTGCTTCATTTAGACTTACAGTCAGCTTGCTCATCCCATCCAGCAAGCCAAAGCCATGGGGCTCCAGTTCCACTCCAGGATTCTGGACATTGACAACATTGATGTGAGTGTCCTTTTCTGTATTTCACCTTGGGGGGATGAATTAGAAACTCATGACCTGAGGAGGGGTTTTCTTCTTTGCTCTGACTTAAGTTGGAGGTAGTTAGTGGCTGGGTTACCCCAAAAGGTAACTCCAGAGTTCCTGAAGTACAACATCCTCTGGAGCATTCTGCATCCCCACAAACAGAGGCAGGAAGAGAGTTGTATTTTGTAAGCTTTGGGAAACAAACCTCAGTTCTCCATTCCTCTCTGCATTGCAGTCAAGAAGTTCTTTAAGTATTGAATGGAGTGACCTTAGAATTGAGGAGAAGGTATAACCTGATTGAAATAGCCAGGTTCAGCTTTGGAGAAGGTGGCATTGTCAGTGTTAGCTGTGTCAGGCCAGAGCAGTGGTGTTAAATACTTGATGTTCTTACCCTAATATGCAGGAATTTTTTCCTGATGGAATTTTCTTCCATTGCAGCTGGCCATGGGGAAGATGATGGAGCAGGGACCAGTTTTAATTATCACTTTCCAGGCTCAGGTCGTGCTGGTAATTAAGAACCAGAAAGGAGAAGTGGTGGAAGGTGACCCGGTAAGGAATGCTCTCAGCTGGAGGTGGTTTCCCTCTTAGTCCCGTGTTAGTCGTCCTGGGTGTTAGGGTTCATCTTGGTGCATCTGGAGCAGGGGGTGTCACACATACTGCATTGACTGGTAGGAATAATCCTGCACCTTGTGGGTTAGGTCCTTGGTGCAGCTCAGTGTGGGCTGTTTCTTCCTGTCAAAGTGTTAAAACCCATGTATTGAGCATTAACTAACTCCCTGCCTGCAGTTATCACCATGAGTTCTGCTCCTTTAGCTCCTCTGGGACAGAACTGAACTCTCCTGCTGTACATTGAAACTCCATCCCAGAGCTTCCACCTGATCCTGGTCTTTTCTTCTTGCTTTCACGAAGGGCACTGTAAGAGGAGAGCACAAAGATGTTTGGCAAACAGGGTGGGAGCTGGAGTCAGCTCATTTGCTGGGGATGGAGAAAATTACTGACTTAATACATGCATTTAATAAAGACTTGGCTTTTTGCAACCACTGTCTCTAGTCCAGGCTCTAAGTTTACAAACTAAGGGATTGGAACTAGATGATCTTAAAGTCCTTTCCAACCCAAACCATTTTATGATTCTAAGTTAGAAACCCTAATTCTGAGTTTGGAAATCAAAGGTTTATCTGTTCCTGACTGTAACATGTTACCAGCCACTGTCCTTACTCAGCACCTTCAGACTTAGAACCAGAGAGCAGACTCATGAGGACAGTCTCTGGAGGGGGTTGGAGCACATCCCCATCAGCCTGGATGAGGTGTGTGAGCAGCCCCCAGGCTCTAACAGCAGGATTTCCCTTCCAGGACAAGGTGCTGCGGATGCTGTACGTGTGGGCACTCTGCAGAGACCAGGACGAGCTCAACCCCTACGCTGCGTGGAGGCTACTGGACATATCCTCATCGAGTACTGAGCAGGTTCTCTGAGGACAACTACACCCAGGGGCTTCCTGTACCTCTCTGGAAGTGGCTCCATCTCTGCATTCACACCAGGCTGCTGTGGGATGGATTGCGGATGAGGGCAAGAGGCTGGACTGGTTCCTTTGGGAAGAGGGGGCTGTTCCGTGTGCCCTCATTATGCCAATCCCAGTCATGAACTGGACGAGTACCTGCCTTCCGCTTTGCTGTGGCACTGTAAGGGTGTAGGGAGATTGCCAGTGAAAGGTCTGAGACACGAGCAGCTGCTGTTGGCTCCTTTTTTAATCGTGGCTGAAGGAGGCTGGTTGGCTCCTGTACATTTCCCAGTGCTTCCAGTGATGCACAGAGGTGGGTATTGGGGAGTGAGACGTGCCAGGTCTAATTCCCATCTGCTGTCATCCTCTGGTGGCCTCAAAGCATCCCCCACAACATCTCAAAGGTGCTTTTAAGGCATGTTGGTCTTGGCTAACTCTTGTGGAGTCGCACCAAGAAGCCTTCTCTTGCTGCAGTGTCTTGCACTTTACCAAACCAAATACAATCAAGTTTGCACGTGATGCTCTTGGTGTGGAGGGGTTGGCATCATTAGGCAGGTTCTTGAGGCTGGTTGCAGTGATACCATTCATAGATCCACAGCTTTGCAGGGGGGACGTTGGTTTGGGTGTTGTGTTCATTGTGTCCACTGGTACCACTGAGGAGTGCACAACTGCCTTTCTCTGCTGGGTTAATCTGATGGTGTTGGGGGGACAGGTTGTAATGGGGAGGCGGCAGCAGGCAGGGTGCTGGGATGGTGCTCAGGGGTGGGGATGGACAGACCAGCAACACGTGAGTCAATAAAATACAGTAACGGGTAGAACATCACCTCTGGAGCTCAGGTATTTGTTACATGAGATGAGAAAAGAGGGTGTAATCCACACACCTACTGTATGAAGTGTGTCCTGAGCGTGGCTGTTGTCACCAGGGGGACTTGTGCACAGACTCTGGGTTTGGAAGCTGTGATGTGGGTCAGTTCCTCAACTGCCTCGTTATGGGATGTGTGATTGGAGGGGGACAATATTGCTGGGGGGAGTAGGAAGTCAAAGGAGTGACCTGCTGCTGTGTTCTGCCCATGCACAGAACAGGGTGATGCAGGACAGCACTCCTTGCCATTATCATTAAAGAGAATCATTCCCAGTTCTTCCTTCTCTTCACAGTGTCCGGATCAGTTCCTTAGAAGTGGAACTTCATTATGGTTTTAGCTCTTGGGATAATTAATTCTCTTGGGGTTTTATTTATAGTAAATGACTATACTGCTGGAAGGTGTTGTAAATGAGCAAACTCCTGGAATGTCCAGACAGTTTGGAGAGAGGAGCAGGAGGATTTTCCATTGTTCTGGAATACTGGTCAGTGAGCAGGTCACAGTGGGCTATAAATAGGGTTGTCAGCGTTTTGCAGCATCAAGTTCCAGTAGCACCAGGTAGACCTGGGCTTGCTGGCAATCCAGAGGCACTGCTCTAAGGCATTGTTGTGTGGAGGGATCTTGGCTGGTGCTGTGGAAGGTTCCAGGGCTCTGGAGCTGCTCCCATGTCTGTGGGTCTGTCCTGGCTCCCGCAGGGAAGGGGACAGGGGATCCCCCACCATTTCCTGCCCCGCTGGTGGTGATTCGGTGCCCTTCAACAGCTCAGATGAGAGGCTCAGAGGGGCTTTGGCACCTTGAGTACCATTTCCTGGTGTCCCCTGTGCTCCCTCCTGTCCCACACAGGCATGGACTCATTAAATCTACAACACCCCCCCCATTCCCTAAACTCTGCTTCCCCACACCTCTACAGTACTAAGGGGGCCTGGGCTGCCCTCAGGGGCTGTGGGTACAAGTGCCATCTGCTT